ATAATTTAAAAAGAAGACAGACACAATGTTACTTAAGGAAGAGAAAGACAATATTTTCAAAAGCTCCATGAGCTCAAAACAGCGAGTCTGATAGTTTTGTTTGATATATGAATTCAGGGATCAGTTGACTATCAACATAAATTTTTGCTGATGATGTTTTTATTTTACCTCTATAAGAAGAAAACACTTGGAGCTCAAAATAGGTTTAAACCTGAAAGAAAATATGGATTACTTCCTATGAATGAGAAATTTGTTTTTTTTTCTAGTTTCAGTTCTTGCCCTCAAAGTCTCAAAAAAGAGACTTTTTATCTCATTCGAATATTTGATCCTGGTGCTTTTGGTGAATGTCATCTCCAGTCTCTTTTCAACTGTCTTTTCAAAATCAGACAAGAAAGCTAAATTATGATCTTTGAAAAAGTTGGTTTTGGATTTCCTCTAAAGCCACAGAAAACAAACTCCTGTTTTCACCCTTGCGCCATTTTAAATCATGATCTCCTCTTCTGTTTTTCCTCAGTGTAATCCAACCACATCACACATTATTCTCACTAGAACAATATTTCACCTCATGGACCGATTCGCCACAGGACCTGAACAACTTGCGTTGATAAAAACAGTAGTCATTGCAGGGTTATTGCCTTTATCTCTGGCCTTCTCCTGTCCCCCCCTTAGAGCTGCCATGTTTTAGTACTACCCCACTGTCAGAAGAGGTGCAGGTCGCTCTGAGGTACACAGTGCAGTGTGGGCTGTCCTGCCTGGAGGTATTGTCACACCAAGAGAGAGACGACTGCTCTCAACCTCACACACGGTAAAGGTCAGGTCTCGCACCATCAGTGTGAAAAGCTGCACTGAAAAGGGTAAAGTCCATCTGGTTTTAACTCCACAGGACTGCTGCTGCTGCTGCTGCTGTGAACATGCATATATGTATGTGTGCTCAAACTGACCTGCAGCATCAAAAAAAATAATGGAAGAAGAAGAAGGAGGGGCGAGTGCTGTGATTTGATGTTTGGTAAACACAACATTTGCGTTGCTAAGTGTGGATTGATAAAAGAGCGGTGTGTGCGGACATTGTAACGCCTGCGCCCTGATTCGGATTGACTCTAATGGGGTGGCCTGGTGAATTTTTCATACAGCCCAGAGGGGGAGGAAGAGCAAGCATACTGCCACATTACAACCCATAAGAGAGAGAAGTTGCACTCAGGTAGCAGCTTCTTCTGTCAACAATGAATCTTTGCAAACAGAGGAATAACTTCTGAAGGAGTGATGAGATTTCCTCTGGATTTGCAGCTTTTGATGGACAATTTCCGAACGAGTCCTCCAGCGAAAAGAGAGAGACAATGAGGATGAGGGTGAATCTGTTTGATCTTTAGTGTGGGTTTGGTGGACCGAAGATGATTCAAAGATCAGACATAAGTTTGCAGATTATTTTTTTTTTCTTTGCAGTTTTTGTAGCTCAGTTGAGTTTCTATATTCTTCATACATTCTCAATGATCCATTATGAGCTAAATCAAGGGCAACTTGATCTTATCGTCCTCTGTAAGCCTTGTGAACAAAAAGCCCAAGATCTCAATTTAATGGGCTGAAATTTCTGCAAGAAAGCTCTAAAAAAATTATCCATCTGTTCAATGCACACATGCCGCAGCTCCCTCAGATAGCTCGTAGCACTGTCTCAGCGTATGCAAATATGTTTTGCCTGGAAATCTATTTGGAGTTGCTCGAAGGAATCCAGAATGGCCCTCCTTCTGTCTCCCCCTCGCCCGGCTCACGCGGGGCTCCCTCACGCTGTCTATCTCCTCTCGCGTGGAAAACACACTCACCAGCTCCACACGCACGGACACACAGTCAGAACACACAGCGAGCAGAGTGGCACCGCCTTAGACCGTTTAAACCACCATGGGCCAATATGCAGATCTCGCAGGCCTGTACTGGCGGGGCCCCTCTGTCCACTGAGCCCTGGGAGTGTTTGCTCAGTTGGATAATCCATGCAATAAAGAAAGACAGAGGGAATAATTATCTAGTCTGTGAAGAGGCCCGGACACTTACTTTATTCTTCTGTCACATACTTACTGCCCTGCTTTTGATGTAGAGCGAGGGTACGCAGCCTTGAAATATGAGCCTGATTGCAAAAACAGGCAAACATTTTTTAAGATGTGAAAAAGACAAAAAAATATATGTTTTCTCTGCATTTAATTAGCAAAAAAAATGAAGGCCAACCTTCTCAATTTGAGGCCAAACCCTGAAATGTAGAAAAAGGAAAAACTCTCTGAATCCAAAGATGTTGATGTTGGAATTTTTGCATCTAGAAGAATTAATTCCCCTCTTGGGCAGAGATGCAAAAAGAAGGAGACAACAGACCTTATGTGTGTGTGTTTCGTGTGTGTATGTTTCGTGTGTGTGTACCAGAGGGCTGAGAGAAGCCAGGCTTGGGCAGATGGTCCACAAAGGTGTTACCTCACAGTGAGTGGGCACTGCGATTGATGCATTGCAACATCCAAGAAGGTGGAACATTTGGCTGCTGACCCGCAGTCAGAACTCGTTGGTCCCGTCTTCTCCTTATTTAGCTGCTCAAGAGAGCCAACGGCTGATTTGGTTGGAATAAACACACACACACACACACACACACACACACACACACACACACACACACACACACACACACACTCAGAGAAAAAAAAATACACAGCTCTTTCCCACCCTGAAGGGAGGCTGTGCGGGCTGTGCGCTGGAAACTTCTCCCTGTTTGACTCTGCAAGGAGGTCATGATGGCGGTGTGGGGTGGGGAGGAGGGCAGGAGGATGGGCAGCAGAGAGGGGAGCAGAGGAGCAAGGACCACACAGGGGAACTTGGGGTTTCTGTTACACTTAGATGAAGAAGATCTGACCCTAAATTTGTTCTGAAGAGGAACATGAAATGATTAATCTAAACCAAGACAAAGCATGTCTGTTTTCTTCTGCTTTCCCAAATCACAAACAGTAAATCAGCTCCAAGGGGTGAGGACACCCTGAGACCTTTACACTGGATATAAGACAAACCTCTCCTGATGGAAACCCTTGAAACAGGGTCAAAAAAGGATGATACTGCAGCGCTGACTGTCAGGATAGTACATTTACAGATTGAACATGAAGAATGTGGGTTTGAGTTTTGAGCTGATGAACTTTCAGGAGCTGAAAAACGGTTTACAGACACATCTCTTATCTCTTTTACCTGGTTAACTATAGGTTAAAAACAAATAAGAGAAACAAACTTCAGTGAAGAAAAAGTATTATTCTTAGAAAATGCTTAATAATGAGTTTATTGGAAACATTCTATAAATTCCTAATGTTTGAATTTAAACATTTAAAGACAGATTTAGACAGTTAAATTGGGACCAAATTCCTTGTCTTCAATTTTGTCCTGATATCTTACCAGTGAAAAAAGCTGCTTCTGATTCAGACTTAAAGGAAAAATAAATCTCAATGTTTTTTAGAGTTAAAATAAGATCAGATAATATTTGATTAAACTATTAATATTTTTGTGTTACATTGAACCTTCTCCTCTCCACCACTAAGACATTTGTCTGAGGAGAGGAAAAGGGAAAACATTTACTAAAGACAAACACATTTTTTTGCCTGAAATCAAATCAAATAAGACATAAGATCAAAGGGAAGTAAACTCCCAAGCACTTAAAAAACAATTAAAGCGTAATCATATTTCAAACCTAACTCAATAGGTAACTTTACCATCTGTTCTGAATAGTGTGATATATATTGATTAAACACTAAAATAAAATGCCTGCATGTTTAAATCGACTTAAATGGAACCTAGGTCTGCTGTCTCCACAGAAAACATGATTTTAAAGTCAGGGATCTTAATATTCACCTGCTGCTACAGTAAAATGAATAAAAATCTCCATTAGAAAATAAAATTTAAACATTTTTGACTCCCCAGCTGGTCTTCTAAACACAACTTTCACATCTTTTAAAAGATGATGAAGAAAACGAAGCTTCAAGAGTTCAAAGGAGAAATATTCTCTTTAATTACAAACATTATTAGTTATGCACATGGTGGAGAGATTTTTATTTCAGACCCAAAAGCGTTCTTACATCAGTCGAAACATGGAAAATTCATGAGTCCTCTAACTAAAGGCAACATTACAGTGATGGATATTAAATATGATAATTGTTATTTTCCCAGAGTGCCGTTAAATCATTAAGTCTGTAGGAGAAATAATTCAGCTCACTGTTTTAATAAATACATCATTAAGAATAATAAATACATGATAGCTGGTTACTTAAAATTTCTTAACAATATGTTTGAATCTTTTTTTTATTTTAACATCATGTAAAATAATAAAGTGTTTTCTCTCTTTCTCCACTTTTATCATTTTTCCTCACGTTGCACATTATGAAAGCCTTCTGCTCGAACTACAATGTAAATATGTAGAGCTTGTTAATCTTTACTCTCTGCTTTGAAATAACACAAATTTATCTAGTTTGAAACAACTAATCCTTCGTTTTTTAAACACTTTTTATCAGTTTTTTGAAGTCTCATTAAAGACTCATTCAGCTAATAAACATTTTAATACGAGCCGGTTTTTGCTTTCTTTGACTTGAGCGTCTGTTTCAGGTGAACCAGTCATGCAGTGCCACCCTCTGGATACTTTGGGCAACATGTTTCACTTTATATCTACCAGTTAGTTCCACTAAAAATAACAGTATGACAGTATGATGATTAAAAACAATGATGATATAAATAAACTGGTGTTTGTATTTCCAGTAAATGTAATACAACTCTAAAAAAATGGCAGGTTACAAATAAGGAGATGGTACTAAAAGCCTTAAAAATGCTACTGCCTTTTTTTAAATCTCTGACCATAGTTTTGAAATAAGCATCCTAAAAGAAAAGATTTGTGAATCCTAACATAAAACAACCCCAAATCTAAGCAAAACCATCACACATATGAGTATCAGTCCAACACAGATCTCTAAAGCCTCATCCCTCCTCCCATTGGACTCCACTTCCAGTCAGTCATCATCCACCACCATCACATTCCCACTCAGCTCATACTCCATGGTGCCCCAGTCGAAGATGTTGCCCTTGGGGACCTTGTGGCCGTAGTGCCAGGCCTGGATCATGCTCCTAGAAAGCACAAAATCCCACATGTTCAGATCCGTCACCTCACCTACAAAACTCTGCACAGCCTCCAATCCTCCAAGGTGTTTGTCTGGGTCCTGCCCCAGGAGGACAGTGCCCTTTGGACGGATGGTGTGCCCCGGTTTGTACACCTGGTAGGTGCTGCGTTTTCCTTCAACCCAGAAAGCAGCGAGGCCGGTGCGAGACTCCCAGGTGAGGCAGAGGCTGGTGCGGAAAGTGGTGATGGGTGGCAGGTGGAAGAAGCAGCCGTCACCGCTCAAGTAGAAGGAGACCCGGCCGTCCTTCTCACGCCACACATTAAGCTCATCATAGTCAGCTGTGCGATAGGCGAACAGGATGATCTGGCGCTCCTCAGGGAGCTCGGTGGCCACCCGCATGCAGAGAGTAAAGGCCCTCAGTCCCATCTCCTTCTGAGGGATGAGGGCCACGAAGCTGAAGTCAGTCTCATAGGGAAAGACGAGGACTTTGTCACTCAGACCTACTTCAAGGACAGCAAAAATAAGCTTTCAACAAGAGTAACATGTGCACAACAACAATCAACATGCTTTCCTGTGAAGTTTGGGATAAATACCTTGTGTGGCAGATGAAAGTGTCATAGACCAGCCAATGACACCAAGCACGACCAAAGAAAACCTCGCACTGTTGACATGCTGCAAACACACATAAAAACAATCCTCAATATCTAAAGAAATTTAAAAAAACTGAAATCTATGAGCCAAAAAAAGTCACAGACTGCATATTATGTGCAAAAAGAAAAGAAAAACAAGCCCTCTTACCATTTTGTTGTTGTTTTTGTTCCTCGGTGTTGCTAACTCAGTCTGGCTCACTAATGCCCCTCGTGCCCTGGTCCCCTTCCCTCCTAGCACAGGCCGTGATGTCAGCTGTTCATCGGATGCGCTGACAATAGGCTCGGTGTGTGAGGACCTGAGTGATGCTGCCTTTATCTGCTGTGTGTCTGATGCACTCATACACACACACATCTTTTCTCCAATGAGTGTGTGTCTGTGTGCTTTATCACATGACATCATAGATTTGCTTTAACTTGAAGTGTTTTGAAAATTATTTGTGAATTATAATTATGATTATGTTACTGAGTACATAGTAACCAGCTGCATCAACTAATAACTGTGTGACTCTAGTGTAACTCGTCTGACTGAGCTCACTGACATTATTTCACACTGAAGCGAAGACACAGTTTCCATCTCTTTGAAGGTCACTCTACAGATTAATGTTCCTCCTGAGTATATGCTGTAAAAAATCATGGACAGCACAGCAGCGAACATAGATGAAGCCAAAATATCTAGAGCTCCCCCTGGTGACTGGCAGCAGGACATGATTTAAAGCCCATGAAAAACTGGTCAAACTTAAAGGCGTCAGTTTAGAGGGGGACGGGGGGATATGTCCCCCCACTTTTTGTCAGGGGTCATTTTTTCTCCACCACACCCAAATCCTTCACTTGTAAGCCATTGTAACCCCAGTTATTTTCAGTAGTATAGAAAATTCTGACGCTCCTGAGCGCACCATCTGTATTTGTCAGAGAGTTGCTGAGAGACGCAGGGGATCTTCGTGAGGACAACAAAAACGTGCAGCTGTTGTAAATTTGCGTCTGTGCCATAGACTGTATATAGAATGGACACCGTCTGCCTCCTCGCTGGGTGAAGCCTCTCTGAGAACAGCACCCTCTGACAACGGGCTGCAGTTTAGGTCATAAATCCCACCTCCACAAGCTTTGCTGGTGGACAAACTTTGAAAGTTTATTTCTCAGAGTATAAATTTTTCTCCCACCTGGTCGCGATGCTGACATATAGTAACTGTCAGACTGGTTCGTGCTCAAGTCTTCTTTTTTCCGTACAACTCAATTTTTAAAAGTTATGAGGGGGTTTTATATTTCCTATGATTGACACATGATACAGCCTATGGGAGTTTGAAGATTGTGCAGCTCACCTGGGGGATATGTTGTTTGAGCCGAGCGTCATCACAGCGACTCTGCGACTCTCCCGCCGAATGCGTACAATGCTACTGTGCGATGTTGGTTTTAGGAAATGAAGAAAGATTGCGGAAAGTTTTTCAGCTTCAAATCCGTATACTGGGGGAAGGCAGAACCAAGATGTCCATGGTATATACAGTCTATGGTCTGTGCCAAGTTGAAGCTGCGACCGAGGGTGTGCTTTTTCTTCTGATAATACCTGTGGTGAGTTCGAAAACTTGTTAGCTTGTTTAACCCTATGATTATCCTGTGTAATAAATATATGCAAGGGGGCGTTAGTTGGTTACATGAAATAAGTCTACGCATTTTATAGTAGCCGCCCCCCCACACTTTTTGAAACAAACTGACTCCCTTTGTCAAACTATACAATTAAAATACATGTGTTCAAAAAGGACTGTGAACAAATAATCAGTCTTGATGCTGATGGGCTTGTTTACTTTTAAATAACATTAAAAAAACATCAATTTAAATGTCAATTTATTGCATTCATGTCCAAAAACTCTTCATAGGAGCTTTAACTAATAGGGTGGCTTTTCTGATTTCTTTTACCTTTTTTTTATTTGCATCAGTTGTGTGTTATCTTGGCTCTCACAAACAACAGCTAACAAGCTGGTCTCATCAGAAGTGTGAAATGTGGTCGGATACAGTCAGCATTGACAAAAATCGCCTGTGCTTCTTCACACAAAGATCATGACGGGACTCAACCTGAGCCATAAGAGTCTGAGCACCTTCGTATTTTTCAGGAAAGTGACTCTGTTACTTATTCCTGCTGGCTACTTTCAATATCTTGTCACTTCACCAAAAGAAACCGGGTATTTTAAAACCGTTCATGTACAAGGAAATTAAAAGGCTACACGTTTACGGTCTGAACTGCAAACACTGAAAACGAAGCAATGCTGAAGGAACCATTTAGAGATTCTTAGACCTAAAATTAGATGAAAAACAAGTTAAATGTCTCTGATCTAAGACCAGAAAGGAAACCTCTGGATTGTGCTACAAAGCTAACAGAAATGAACAGGAGCACAGTTGTCTTCATACTTGGTATCTCTTTAATGATGGTCTTGTGTCAAAAACACAACATCAAACAGAACTCAAAGTTCACGGTTTAATGGGGACAAATGAAAACGGACCCAGGCATTTATGTTATCAACATATCTACATTTAATACAGTTTGTCAAGCTCTAGGATTTCTCAAGAAAAACAAGAAACCTATGTTGTCAAGAAATAAAATCTGAGATACACAAGCAACTTATTTACATAGCCTGCACGCTGAAACGAACCACCGACAGGCCTGATTCACCACAGACACACATTCAGCTGAGAAACAAGTAAATAGTGCTGAACTGAAGGTAAGCTTGGTATGAATGAGCTCAGATAGTCATAATTCTTCCAGCATTTTTATTACAGAGGAGGATGGCTGATTTTTGTACGCTGTTGCAACCATTTTCTTTCGATCTATGACACTTCAAGGAGAGGTTGTGTCAAAATTAACAGCAAAAGAGGCAAGAGAAATCAAGTCGCCTTGCCTTTGATAGAGAGAAGAAAACCCACTTCATGCTCGATGTGAGATCTGATGTCAATCCAGGCAAACGGCATGAGCCAAACACAACATCCAAACACATTTTTAGTTTCCATGACTGACACAGACAGCACAAACCATTTAAACATCAACCACAGCAGCTGATGTTAGCCATCAAAGTTCAAACGTTTCAACACTTTCGATTAATATCCAGCAATGTGTAAAACTTTTTTTTTTTAAATTTCTGTGAGCAGCAAATGTTTCTGTTCATACTTCCACATGGAAACTCTTTCTAAATGCAGCAGTTGTGTCCATTCATTTTGTGTTTCCAGTTCAAGGCCGCTTTTCATGATAAATTTTGATCATTGTCCTGACAAAGAAAAATGAATTAGTGTAATTCAGACCTAACCTAACAGATTATGCATACATTCAACTTATTGAAATTGTCTGTAATGGGCTGTGACTGATATGCAAAAACAAAAAATACTCTAATTAAAATCCTACAGTATGGAGACGTGGGGAGTGGGGACTAAATTCTAGGACTATTTTTCACGTATTATTATGTAAAACTTGCATACAAACTGGTCACCCTTGTGAGAACAAGTATTTGGCATTGTAGGTCCAACTTCAGCAAATGTACATCAAGAAGTGGACAAAATCTCACTGTTTTTATGAAAAGAAATGAATGAAAGAAATACTGGAGTAGATGCCAAATAAAAGGCCCATAATTCAGAAACGGAACCACCGTGTGTCATTTTTTTTTTAAATATGGGTGGCTTCTGTGAAAGATTGGAGTGCAATGCTGATGCTTTAAAAGGATTGTGGCACTCAGAGAAAGATAGAGAGAGAGAGAGAGCAAGAGAGAGAGAGAGAGAGAGATAGGGAGAGACAAGGAAGGGAAAGAGGGAGGAGAAAGAGAGACCTGAGAACATGGCCCCTTATTTGAGAAAAGAAAGGAGTCAAGGCTTGAAAGACTAGAAACACGACAACAAGGAGTGATAGAAGAGAAGAGGGGGCAGAAAGGGCTGAATGAAGGGGGATTTAAAGGGAGAAGCAGGCCTGAAACACCAAGCCTTAAAAGATTGGAGCAGGAAGTTTTACAGCAAAGATAAAATGTGAAGGGAAAGAGGCGGACACAGAAACATGGCTCCCGTCTTGGTAGTCCATAATGTGGCTTTTCCTGCTTGTGTTAAGTTCATATCCAGGCAAGAGGGTGATCTGTTCTCTCAAAGTCTTGTGTCGTCCAGGCTTTGTGTGGAGTATCGGGAGGGGGGGATGGCAGAGAGATGGGAGCACGGAGAGATCCCTTTAGTAGTCCTCCACCCAACCATTCTCCTGGATAAAGGCATCGATCACTTCCTTCATAGCCAGGTTGGGGATCAGCTGGTCCTGGGTAAGAGGACTCCGGGTGACCGGGTCGAAATGACCCACTCGCTGCAGACAGAGCAGGTTATATGTTAGCATTAGCATCTTTGTTTATATGTTATACTATGCATTATAATATGTTTATGAAAACCGTGTGCTTTACCCCACAAAAGTGTTTTTTTTTTTTCTCAATTGAGTTCAATTCTTTCGGAATTGACTCAACAAACTATCATTTTAAATTTCAATGGCTTTAATTAAAAAATGACTTAAGCCATTATCTTAATAGGGTGATGATAATTTTGTTTACACCATTTTCTTTTATGAAGGATGGGAATTGCTGGGTAATTCAAAGTACGATGTCTGGCCAGGGCTGGTTCTAGTTTGCCTCCTTGGGGGTGGGCATGCAGAAATATCAGGTTAGCATGTTTAAGTGGGCTGGGGAGGGGTCACCAAGTCTGCGCATTCATAACAAAAATCTCTTAGACACTGCAACTCCACTCGTAATTCACACTGCATCCTGAAACAGGGAAATACCTGTGTCCCAGTGTGTGCTTTCATATCACATTTCAGTGCTGCAGACACACAGGATGCACTGCTTGTTAACACACAGTGGGAGCGCCACACACACACAGCACTGCTCCAATCTGTCAGTTCCAATGCAAAGTGGGTACAAGCTGTGGGCTGCCAAGTTGAAACTATCCCTTCAAATTTGGTTTAGGTAGACAAGGCCCAATTTGCCAGCCATGGACATGGCTCATATTACAATTACATCACAAAAGAGTGATTCTGTGATAACTGGTGAAATGCAAGATATTTATGTAAGGATGCAACATGGTATCTGTTTAACTGTAGAATACAAAAAACTCTCCAAAAGGTGAAGTGCAAGGAGAAGTCATTCAGTGGTAATGCAGTAAATCACATTGGAATGAAGGGAAATCTATTTGGAGCAGAGTGGATGAAGTTGTTTTAAATTTAGATATCCATATTCAACCCTGTCTTTATGATACTTGCTTTGCATAAGTCAGGAATAGGGTTTTTGGGGGGGACTCAAGTCTTTATGGTCATTCTTTGTTTCTATACATATCAAGAATCTCAGCTAAGACTCAGTTAAAGTCAGTAAAAATAAACTTTTTGGTAATACAAGAGGGAGACAATATAGTTTGTACTTTGTACAAGACTGTACTAGATTATAAAGAGTTGGAAACAAGTTTAACCGTCAAGTGAACCAAAGCAAATATAGACAAAAAAAGGTGTTTCCTGTTTACTCTGTGGGAGCTACTGTGGCTTCTTTGTGAGTTTTCTGCACTGACTTACTTTATGCACCAATCTATGAACTAACCTTTGTTTTAGATTGTTAAAAGTGGCATGGAATTTGACAATGAAACTTTCAGCTGGAGTTTGTGGACTTGAGGCTAACTTAATGTAAAATCAGATGTCATAAACAAAACATATAATCTTTAAAAGAGACCAACAGCACAGCTGGTGACGATAATAATGATGATCTTACCTGTAGGTGCTCCTCAATGTCCTTACGATCATAGGTGATACCACTAGGTGTGATGCAGGGCTCTCTCATTAGCTCGAAACTGATCTTCCCACATAGATAATCAGGAATCTCCCGCTTCTGAGCGCAAATTAAAAAAAGAAATGGGAAACCATTGAAAAGCTGAGCACTAGAAATGTATTTCTACAATGACAAAGATTTGACTTCAATCTTTTCCATGACTGGACTCATAATAGTTTCATTACTGAAGTCTGTTTGAGAAAAAAAAATACTGTCTCCAGTCTGCGGGGTGTCATTACAGCTTAAAATAACATTATAACAGCCTCTGTCCACTCTGCAACTGTGAACAGAGAGGAAACTGAGTCGCTGCAACAATACTGACGGTTACCACAGAAACAGATCAGCTGGTTATGACAAAACCATTGGTCTGGCAAATTTTTGAAAAAAAAAAAAATTCTCACAACAGCATAAAATACAACACAAAAATGTAGACACAGTATCTACATGCATAAAAAAACTTTTAAAACAGGTAGTCAAATCTGCACACAAATCCAAAAGGGTGCTACCGTCTGTTTCCCTTGTTGCCATGTCAACGATCAAAGAAGATGGTGTGAAGTAGGTGTGTACCATCAGCAAAGATGCATTTGTGTGGGTGAATGTGATCAGTGTCTGTTTGTTAGCTCTGAGATGGATGACAGCAGTGACCTATGCAGGATGTTTCCCATTTTTCGCTCACTGCATGCTGAGAGACACTCCACTCCTCTTATAATAGGAAGAAGTGGCTGCAGGAAATGACTACATGGATAAAACAATTACGCACTGTAACATGCTCAATTAACGGCAATGACAAGCATGATATTATACTCACTTTTCTTTTCTCATCCACTTGAGAGAAGAGCTCATCCATGTCCATTAGATACTTGTCCTAGTAAAGCACATTTGCATGTCAACACATAGTCAATATTCTTCTCACATATATAATAACTGTGTTTGTTTATTTATGACAGCACATTGAGTCCAATGCCTTTGTTAAGCTTACATGTTTTGATGCAATTTTGGCCACGTCTCCTCCATTTTGATTGTCATCCTGTTTCTCTTTGTATTCTTCTTGTTCTCTGTATAATGACACAGACATGACAGATTCATAACGGCGGTTCACATCTTTTATCACCTGTTCATTACTGCACAGATTAAAACTCTGGCTTACCTTTCCTTCTCAGCCAGGATGAGTTTGGTCAGGTAGGCGTGTAACTCATTTTCCTGGTTGATGCGCTTCTCCTCAATACTGTTCCAACGTTTTTTCTTTGCAATGCGAAGGGCGCTGGGGATGTCATCGCCAAAGTTCAACCTCTGTTCTTTCGCCAGGTTATAGGCTGTGGAAAAATAACACCATAATAGTAACACTTGTGTATCATTCAAGTGTATTTTTGCAGTTTTCTTACCCTCTGGTTACTCAGGTTTTAAAGGCAACCGTTATAATTTTGACATATGAAACTTGCCATTGCTTTATCTTGAGATTATCATTTTAAATGTTTAAATGTCTGAATGTTTGTTTTGCCTACATAAGAGTTCAAAAGGGTAACAGGATCAAGATTTTGATTCAAAGTTACTGGGGCCTTCCCTCCTACACTAACACCACAGATAGCAGAGAGAATGACTAAGTTTAAAAAGACAAAAGCACATGGTCTCCCACTAAAATGAGGAAACACATGAGTAATATCAAGTTTTCTTATCTTGAATTTTAAAACGGCGTTTCCTCAGTGTGCACATTCCTGTTTATATGAAATCAAGCCTTTTTTAAGTTCATGCATTTTAATACATGGTTCTATTGTGCTTAGATTGCACGGTGGGAATGAGGGGTTGGGTTGGGGTAGATTATGGTTTTCTTTGTTTCTTTTATTCCTCTGCTACGTAAAGCACTTGCAAATGTAAATGTAAAGCAGCATCTAAATACAAATGCAAACATAGCTTGTCTTAAACAACTTTTTCTGACCTTTCTGCAGGTTGCCAATGGCCTCATCATAGTTCTCCAGCTCTAGATGACACTGCCCCAAGAAGAAGTGTGCTTTTACTGATTGGCTGTCCAGCTCCAGTGCATGCTTACAGTCTGCCAGAGCCTTGTCATACTGCTGCAGCTTCACATGGCAAAGAGCCCTGTTTGTGTAGTACACTGCCACAGATGGATTACGATTCTGGGAGAAGGGACAAACCAGGCATTACACATGTACAGTCATGTTCCAGCGCTGCAGATTAGGAAATTTGGATAACACTGCACAAGCACGCTGACATGCGCCAGTATGTTTTCTCTGGTAATATTTCTATCATAATGACAGATACTCACAATAGCTTTACTGTAGCATGTAGCAGCTTCCTGGTATTTGCGGCACAGGAACAGTCGGTTGCCCTGCTCCTTCAGCTCCTGCGCGGTGGAACTCTTCTCCGGGCTGCCGGCCATCTTCTCCACCGGCTCCGCGGGGCCCGCCTCGCCCTGTTTCCCTATCCTGTTCCCCGTCTCTTCGGCTGGCTAGCTGACAGGTTCAAAAATGCCCTGTCCCCCCTGGATCTCGAGAACAGACACAGTGCGAGTAAAGTTAGGTCACCATTCACGCCTTGCACTCTCTGCAATGTACCTGCAATGCGCGTCCTCTTTGTACACTAGGCGCAGCGGTCCGGGATGCCACCCAAAGAGTCCGTTAAATTTGCCGAGTGTGCACGCAGCTCTAAAACTCAGCAAGGTGGCTACACAGCCCGTGAATTAACTATTCATATGACGGACATCATTGGCGAGTCGAAGAAATAAGCAGAACAGCTAGCTAGCCAGCCCAGATATCACACTTCCTGTGCAACCGTTTTAGCAGGGATTTAAATTTTAACGCTACACCCCTGCTATACGATGGTGGTTTAAAGGTTAGAAACAACCAATTTAATGTTATATTCCTGATGTAGGTCTCACTGACATTTGAAGAACATTAGTTTAAAGCACCAAATATTGACAGAGAGTGACAATGTCATCAACTTTAGTTACAATAAAAACAAGAAGCGGTGCTGAGGTGTTCGCTAGTCAGCTAAGCTAGCTTGTTGAGCTTCTGTCGATGTAAATTAACAGACTGCTGTGCCCACTTTATCGTTTAAATCAGTCGATCGGCAGTCGATAATTGGGCTGATTTAACTTTCGCCTTCGCTAATCTGGGCCTGACAATGTCTTCTTAGCATTTCTCTTCACATTTACCACAACGCCGGGTACCACAGAAATCAGCTAATGCTAAGTTAGCTTGTTTGCAACACTACATATTCCTTTTGTAAGAGAACGTCCAAGTATGACGGGTTTTTATTTTGATATATGATGATTCCAGACCTTACCTTGAAAAAGAAATCGTGCATCCAGGTGAAAACGTTGTATATGCTATAAAATCAAACGTTAGTCGATATTTTTTTCACATACGAGCTGTCATGACAGGTTGTTGTTATGCTGACGTCAACCGCTTACGCGAATTCGACGGAAGCCGAAAGGGACTTTTTACTTACCGACGTGTGCTGTTTGATCTACTCTGCTGATAAAGGAGAATCAAATGAGTGTTAATTACTGTAAAATTATGTATAAGAGGTAGATAACTACCTGCAACCTACAATGTATAAATGACACGTTTCTTAGAAGATACACATTAAAAGCAAAACGCAAGATTTTTGAATGGTCTATTATAATAACAATTCATCGCGTGAGCATTCCTGACTTTAACACGGGGTCCAAGTGATGCGGACTCTCAGACGTGGAGCTGCATTCAGGTTGTAGACACTCACTATTGCTCCTAACCATTCAAAGGCGAGAGATTGTGCCAGCAGATGGCGCTCCAAACCCAAAATTTCTTTTAAACCCCGAATTTGGAAAGAGTGTGGATGCTGACAAGAGGGAGAGGAGGAGAGAGAGCAGAGCCGGCCCAAACCTCAATAAGGGCCCTCAGTCAAATTTGATTTTGGTGCCCTCTATTTCTGCCAATAATATGGATTGCTGATCATTCACACACCTTCACAAATGTCTTTGATTAACATTCCCTGACATGCAAACATACCTTTATCTTGGCATTTTTTCTTTCCTTCCTCTTTCTTTTCTCTGCTCCTGAAGGATATGTCCTTTTTTGTGACATTGCTTTGCCCCACAACTACCTGCTCTTTGGATGTTCAGTACACATTGTACAGCAGAAGGCATATAACGGTAGCGGAGCTTTGACATATCGGCTATAAGAATCATAGGCCTACATCAGCAGCAGCACTAAATTGTTTTTGCTTCATTTTATTTTATTTTTTACAATAATATATATTTAATCATACAGAAAGCATCACTCATACACACAAAAACTAAAAATATATATTTTTTTTAAATATTTTTTGATTGCTCTTAGGGGGGCCCCTATTGGCTGCGGGGTCCTAAGCAGGTGCTTAGTTCGCTTATGCCTTGGTCCGGCTCTGGGAGAGACAGAAAAAAATAAAAGTGACTACAATAGTGATGCTATCGCGAACAGCCCCTCATGAACTCTTTCCTCAAGTGCTACATTTTTATTATTTTATATTTTTGTACTCTGTCATTTGCTCTGGCAACGTTAACTCCAGTTTTTCATGGACGGACGGACGGACGGACGGACGGACGGACGGACAGATAGATAGATAGATAGATAGATAGATAGATAGATAGATAGATAGATAGATAGATAGATAGATAGATAGATAGATAGATAGATAGATAGATAGATAGATAGACAGACCTCAAAGTTGGAAGGGGATCTGCGAACTCCTGACACTAAATGACTGTGATCTGTGCATGAGTAGGGGGTATATTCAGAAAGGTTGGATTATGTTCAAGGCTATAGTTCATATCATCATGGACATCCCACCCACAGAGAGTTGCAGCCACACACAGACAGATCCACAGATAACCTTCACAGGCCTTTATTAAGAGAAGAACATGCAAGTTTAGCTGTAGAGGACTTAACGCGTCTGTGCCTGTAGCCGGGGTCACTTTCATCCCAGCTTGCCGGGCCTCTGTAGAGGCTCCGCACAGAGATCAGTGTGTGAAGATTAGGGTCCATCCCCTGAGCAAACACACTGATAAATGTGTGAAAGGGGCCGCTGAGCTGCAGACCCACCAGGGCTATGTGTCCCCAGCTGTGTTTACCCATCTCAGCCACTTTGGTCTCCGTGATCTCCCCAGAACACCCACCAATCCTACCAGACCCCAACCCCATATCTGTGGAAGAGGGTGTAAGACCACAAACACTGATGAGGATAAACATGCAAACTCTGGAAGTTTAGGCTCCAGCCAGAGATGTTTAAATGTTTACAGTAGGGAGTTTGTAATGAGTACTTATTGAAAACCCCATCTATGTCATCAAAAGCACTGACAAAAGCATTTCCAGCTTCATTTTTGGTAATCTAATGTAAGACATGTGAAGGTAAAGTTTTCTAACATAGTATTTTCTCAAAAATGCTATAAACCTTCGTGTCCTACAACTATCAATCGGCATTAGAAATAAAAAATCTTGTTCTGGTGGTCTTGTTTTTTGATGTAGCTCACAAATGGGCATCAGCACTAATTTTAATCTGTTTCATAATTTGAGGAAAACTTCCTACGAGAGCCTTAATGCATAAAACATCATAACATCACCCATTAAGAGAGTTTAAATGTGCTTTTCTGTGCTGGTGGTGCCCACAACATCAGTTTCATCATTTCTCACCTGCTCTTACAGCTGTTAGGTTATGGAGCCAGTTTTAAAATGTTTTAAGTGCTTCATGTTTGTTTTCATGTAATGGCATTTCACCAAGAAAAAAAAAAAAATCAAGTCATAGAAAATGTGTTTGAACATTAACAGCAGCCCTAGACCTGGAAATAGTGCCTAAAATATGAGTAAACATAGTTTTTTTTTTCTGTGTATGGACTTCTGTTATTGATGTTGGCAAGGCTGATATCAGAAAGCTTTGCTTCATTAATGAGTATGGTACTTTTTTACAACTTGGATTATTTTAGATTGACTGCATAGCATCCAAAGAAAAGCTGACTCAGTGGGTGTTTTTGTGTTTTAGATGCCAAGGGCTGAAAATGCTGTACTGCATTAGATGCATTAGTATAAATGAAAAATTCCTGCCAGTGTAATAAATGGCCCTGATGGACACAGGCCCTAAAATCCACACTAATGAAAAGCAAAGACAAATATCTTTTTATAATAAAAGAGCATAAACAAAGTTTTTTTTTCCTTCAAAATTATTTAACAAAGTTTTCTGTAGATGAAGAAGCACTGCAGTAGAGTAATTGGGAATCACTGTGGGGATTAGCGTTTCTTTGCAGAGGATCTTAGGCAGAATAAAACCTCCTGTGTACTTAGCGTCAACATGGATACTGCTTCAAGCACTCACTGCTTACATTTAAACTGCCTCATCCTCGCTCCCCTTGTCTAATATCCCAACCGTCATCCTCCTCCATCCCCCCTTTAAACTCCAACTGCTGCCCACTGCACCAGTTGGCTGAGCTTCTTGTCACCTTGGCAACCAGACCAGGAAGTTGCCCTGCTCCTCTGGCACAGCTGAAAAAGCTGCCACTTCCTGATTGATTCTGCTCTTTCTCTCTGCCTGTGTAGTCGTTTTCCCATTTGGCAGTGCTGTCCACTATTCAGAGCCAAACCGCCTGAAAAGAGAAAAAGAGTGAACACGCTCTCCTCAGCGTTAAGGGAAACCTCAGGTTCAAATGGGTAAAACAAAAGCCGTATTTATCCACAATGGAGGCTCTTTGTTTAGGGGGGTTTGCTCATTTTGAGAAGGGGAAAGGCTCATAGACTTATCGCAGTTTGTTCAAGTGGCTCTGAATGAAACGCAGACACTAAAGTAAAAGAATAGCCGCTCTGTGTTAACTGAAAGAAGATGGAAATGAAGGAAATTATTGTTTGAATTTGCATCTCAACCCATTACACAGCATCTATTAATGTCAAACATGTGTTTGTTTTGTCAAACTGTCACTTTATTTCATTCTGGTTACAGTCGTAAGCAGGAGTTCACTAAATCTGTTCTTTTAAGAAGCTCTTCCATACACACTAGCCGTCTACACACTGTAAATGACCATCACAGGCAAACTGGTTACGACACACACGCACAAATGCTGACAGTTTTCATGCTTTACAGTTCTAGGTTAACTCAAGAACAGGAACGCTAACTAACTGAGGTGTAATGATAGTCACAAAGTAAGTAAATAAATTTATTGATCATAATCACAAGTAGATCCCTGTGATCCTTAAAAAAACGTGTTTGCTATCATGCTGTTTCAGTTTGAACTCACATTTCATACAGTGCTGGGAGGGTGTAGTTTTCATATTACTACTCAAAGCTCTATACATGAGTCAAAAATTACCCCATCCCATGGGAACTTCTATTACCCTTTCAACTGGGGCTTACATGTGTCAATTACATGTTATTATGAATTCCTACCCGACTTTCTTACAAATCAACAGGTTGTATTTAATATTTTATTCCAATGTGGTAAAAAACACTTCATTTCTAAATAGCAAAGGACAACCTGATCACACATTATATCAAATTAAGATGATACAGTTCTACTTCCAGTGTACTTGTTAATGATTTCACCCCTTGCTGCTGATAATGTGCGAAAACTTTGGTTTCAGATAGCATCAGCTGACAACATAGTAATTCAATACTAGATACTGGAGTAATAGTATCACAGTGTTGCTTACACATTGCAGGAATATTAGCGTTGGACTTCTCATTCAGTACATATACACTCACTGTTATGTTGAGCTAAGGTTAAAGCTGAATCAAGTGATTTAATTGGACTACTGCCCTTGTCTCAGCCTGTACGCACTGGGCAAAAAATGACCAATTGTCAAAAGTATGTCCACTTCTGCTATGGTAAGTGGCAACAGGCCCCTGTCCTGGTTGATCTATTGCATCATGTACCAAAACAATCAACAAACATGTTAGAAAGAGGCCAATGGGTTGTATGTTGAACAATCAAAACAGACAGCTTTACAGCTCTGTACCTTTCATACCTATAATATGGTAGGGTTTGCTTTGGTTTTTTTTTAGGGTTTCTAAGCAATGCATTTATGCTGCTCAATCCATAGACTGTATATAGAATGGACAGCGTCTGCCTCCTCACTGGGTGAAGCCACTCCGAGAACAGCACACTCTGGCAGCAGGCTGCAGAACAGGTCATAAATATCGCCTCCACCAGCTATCCTTATGTGGCTGTGGACAAACTTTAGAAATTTATTACACAGAACATACATTTTTCCCCCTGCTTGCGATGTTGACATGTTGTCATTGTAAGACTGGTTTGTGCTCAAGTCCTCTTTTTTCTGTGCAGCTCCGTTTTAAAAAGGGCGTTATTATTATTAGGGGCTTATTAGGGGGTTCAAGTTTCCTATGATTGACACGTGATACAGCCTACAGGTGTACGAAGATTGCATAGCTCACTCGGGGGATGCGCTGATTGAGCCGAGCGTCATCACAGCAACTCTCTGCGACTCTCCCACCAAATGCATACAATGCTACTGCACAGGTGGTAAAGTGCATGCAACGCTACTGCGCAATGTTGGTTTCGGGAAGTGGAGAAAAAATGCAGAGCTACCAACAGCTTTTTGGCTTCAAATTCGTTAGTGGCGGAAGGCGGAACCAAGTAATCCATAGTATATACAGTATATGGTTCAATCTCTTAGTAAAAACCTGATGTGAACTTTGGCATATGAGCAGAATGCTTTGGTCAGTCCTTTAGAGGCTTATATGCATGCGAAAATTTACCCTCAATTGCATTATAGCGTTAATCCAATTGTGAGAAGTTGGACTTGGTGTGAATTCAGTTAAACTTTGGCATTTTCAAAGTCTAGTTTCTAGCCGACTAATTTAATAATTAGATTTTTTTTCTTACATGCAAACAAACTGACAAAGAGCAAGTTTCATTCCTGCTGGAAGTTAATTCAGTTTAAGTGAAGTAGGCTGGTTTGATCCTGTTTCTTGAAGCCTATAGAAAAGTGTGTATGCAAATAAGCATTTTGGATAAAATGAGGCAGTTTTAAAGTGAAGCAGCAGCTTTCTGGACAGGTTGTACAAAGGCTACTCCTGACTGTTCAGTCTGTGTTTTTCTCCTGTGGTTGAAGCGCTTGGTAATCATTTCTTATGTGCCCGGTTACAAAAGTTGACACTGTGGGTTAGGAGTTAAATAGGGGGATGTGCTGATGCTAAACTAAAGGCGAGTAGGGAAAATGCTGGAGACACCCAAGGGTCATAGATCATCCACACACCTCTGCAGCTCTGATGAAGACTCCTGAGAAGGGGGAGGAATTACTCATCCTTGAAAGAATTAAAGTGGGCAAGACAAGAGTAAAAGGGAAGTTAGAAAAGAGTTTTAGGGGAGTTAGAGAGGAGGTAGGAATTAGAGCTCTTCTTGGATATATTAAAGAGCACATAGTTAAATTAAAAGATTTGGAGTGATCTTGGGGTTCCAACAGCTCAACTATTTTTTTTCCCTAAATGTAAAACAAAATGCAAAGGAAAACTTTTTCTTCTTTTTCTTTCACTGACTTACAGCTTGCTGGAACTTTAAACTTTAACCAAACAGTTTATTTTCTGAGACAGTCAGTGTTAGTCCAAAAATCCTTTACACCCTGGGGGGTTAACAACACTCTGGATGAGACACCCCCGCTTTCCAAAACACACACACCCACGGACACTCTCACACACCCTGGATTGATGGGTGACGGTTGGGGGTGGAGGCGGCTGCAGCAGTTTGACAATAGACTTTTGGAGGGATATCAAAACTCTTGTGTCAGAGCTTTCGGGGATGTGGAGGGAAATTCAATCCTGAATCCATCATCAATGCATTTAAATGAGAAATCCAGTTAACCATTCATTGACATACAACCACCTCCAGATGGAAACAATATTTGTTTACTCATTGTTACTAATTGCAGGCTGCAAAAGCTAAAACAAAGTTTTTTTAAGATTATAATGAGCTTTGTTTTAGCTGAATCTCAGCACATTATCAACTGAAAAGCAACACTTCTGGTGGAGCTCGTGCAATTAACTAGAGATGACAAATCAGTGTGTTTTTCACATAGAAAATCAATGAGGGGCTTCTCAGGACGCAGCCAGCAGGGGCACTAAGAAGTTACTTTCCCTCCCTCTATACTTCCATCCCCTGCTCCCCCCACAACCCCGGGAATGTCCCCTGAGGTCATGCTCTGCAGGGTCATCGGCCCCACCCTGCCCCAGCCCCCAACTCCAAAACCCAGCT